TTTTGCTATAAAGTTAAACTCTTGAACCATTTACTTGAGGATGGAAGTGGATTTTAGGACTCTGGTCACACATTGGTTAAGTGCTCGGCTGTGCATCAAAAGGTTAGTGGTTCAAACCCACCAAGTGCTCCTTGGGAGAAAGATGTGGAAGCCTGCTCTTATTTGGATTTATAGCCTTGAAAACCCTATGGGGCAGGAGTTCTGGTGGTGCAGTGCCTAAGGCATTTGACTACTAACCAGTAGGTTGGCAGTTCAAACCTACCAGCCACTCCCTAGAAGGAAGATGGGGCAATCTACCGTAGATTTACTGCCCTGGAATCTCAATGTGTTCTCTAGGAGTCTGAATTGAATTTTTTGAGTATAGGATCACTATGAGTTGTAAATGACTTGAAGATAGATTTTTTTTTTAAATTTATTGATGCTATAGTTTTTTTTTTCTAATAATGTTGAGTCTAATTTTAAATAAACGTTTCACTATATTCCTGTAATTTGAATATTTTTTAACAGTAGGGAATAGGCTGGTTTCTGTGTGCCTGAAAATGTACCCATGGGTTTTAGTGTATATTTCAATTATATAACTTAATACACGTCACTCTAACATTAAATATATTTGACTCTCAGTTAGTATTAGTGGGAAAGTTTAGTGGTTAAAAATTTGATTTATATTGTGCAGTTAGTATTTGTGAGAAAGTTTAGTGGTTAAAAAGGTGGCCTAAAATTCTTTTATCTGGATTTAAATCATAACTTAATAGCTATGGGACCATAGAGAATTGATTTAATCTCTGTAACCATTTCTCATAAGCAAATGGGATAACAATAATAGCTGCTTATCAGGGTTGTTTTAGAAGCTTATGAGTTACTGAACAAAAAACGCTTAGACACATGTGTGATACCAAAATAGAACATATGTTAGCTATTACTATTTTTAAAGGAACTCTGGTGATGTAGTGTTTAACACATTGGGCTACTGATCAGATGATTGGCAGTTCAACCCACAAGTCCCTCCACAGGAGAAAGATGAGACAGTCTGCTTCCATAAAGATTTAGTCTTGGAAACCTTACCAGGCAGTTCTATTTTTTTCTATAGGGTTGCTACGAGTCAGAATCAACTTGATGGCAGTGGGTTTGGGTTGGTATTATTATCAATATTATCTAGTACTATGTTTCTTTGTTTTGTTTTTCTTAACTATTTATAAAAGAGCAATAGCTAAAGAGGAAACATTATTTGAAAGTTTAAAAGAAGAATAGAATGAAAATATTGGTCACTACTACTAAATAAATGAAGGAATACATGTTAACATTAATTAATACATGTATAAAATGTTACATTGTTTTAGTTACTTAGTACTGTCTTAACAAAAATACCACAAGTAAAGAACAGAAATTACATTCTCACAGTTCAGGAGGCTAGATATCAGAATCCAGGGCATGGCTCTTACCTTGTCTACTTCAACATCTAGTAGCTACCATCAATCTTTGGAATTCCTGAACATCTGTCATCTGTCTTCCTCTTCTTCCTGTGAATGTCTCTGTATCAATTCTCATCTTTTTATAACTCAGAAGGGATGACCACATCTACCTTATGTTGGCATCACTTCATTAACATAACAAAAGAAAAGTCTCATTTCCAAACAGGGCCTTATTTACAAGTACAGTGGTTAAAATTACAACACATATTTTGGGGGAACATAATTCAATCTATCGTATATAGATTAATATTATTAATATTATTTAAAATTAATATACTGGACTGCATAAAATGATAATTTACTTATAGAATTTTTATTGATGCAGCTGTAGGGCAGCTTTTGAATTATTTTTGTCACCGTGTCATGTTACTGGATCTGACATACTGCCCTTCTATTTGGGTAGTAAAAATATGAGAATAACTTTTTTATCTGAACACAGTTTTTATCTATATGAAGAAAAGCTTCACCTTTCTGAATTACTTTTTTCCCTGTGTTTCCTATTGTTATTTATTTAGTTTTCTTTAGAGATTATAGAAGGATTAATTATGCAATTACAGGATTTCATTTTATCATACATTTTATGCTACTAGTGATATTTTAAAGAAAAAGGTATTATGCTTATAAAATGATAGATTTAGTACATGAAATCTGAATATTAAGAAAAAATATACCGTACTCCAAAATTTCAAATCATTTAAAAACAACTATGCCTAAGGCATTTGACTGCTAACCAGAAGGTTGAACCCACCAGCCACTCCTCAGAAGGAAGGTTGGGCAGTCTACTTTCATAGTGATACTGCCTCGGAAACCCAAGGAGGGGTTGCTATGAGTCAGATCCGACTTGACAGCAGTGAGTTTTTTTTTGTTTTATCACTAAAATTTAGTAATGCTTAATACAGACACATTTCCTTTATTTTGTTTCAATCAGTTTTTAATGAGTAAAGTAAAAATGCTTTTATTCCTCACATTTAACCTATAAATCTCTATTTTTAGCTATTCTAGTTAAGACTTTCAGCTTTATTTTTAATATTTGAAAAATTGCCTGCTATGTAGTGTGTTGCAGGCTCATTTTAAAAGATAGAATAAAAATATAATTTCTGTTATTCACTGTTATTGAGTCAATTCCGACTCATTGCGGCCCCCACTGGGTTTCTGAGGTGGTAAATCTTATGGTAGATTGCCCCATATTTCTTCCATGGAGTGGATGGTGGGTTTAAACCATCAGCTTTCTGGTTAGCAGTCAAATTCCTTAGGCACTGTACCACAAGAGCTCTTTAATTTCTATTAGAAGCATTAACTAAAAAAAATAAATAACAAGAATATGAATTATTTTCTTCAAGTTTATTTAGTAATTGTTCTGGTATTCATTAGTAGGTAAGAATAATTTTCCTTTTGAATAGCTGTTTTGGTAAATGATTTTGTTTAAATTACTGTAATATTGATGATTTCTATAATAAAGGAGATATTTTTCTTATAATGCTATTTATAATACACATACATTTATATTTATATATCAATACTCCTGAATATTAGAAAAAGCTACATGACATTCCTATCAGAATTTTCACTAATTACCCAAGTCCTGGAATTCTTACTGATGAGATTAATGCTGTCTATATCACATCTAATGCATTACAAGTGATAATGATTAATAGGAGCCAAAGGACTACCTGGTTTATAAATCTTACTAAGAAGATGTGTCATTTTCTTAAGAGAAGAAGGAAGTTTCAGGTGTCAAACTATTTAAATACTACAGCTGGTGTTGCTAGGAATGTAACAGCAATTTTGATTTAACCAAAGAGGCCATGTATTTAATAAATTGTTGAATATGTTGGTTTGAAGATGGTTGGTATACCAACCATCTTCTTTGTCTCTCTCTCTCTCACTGTCATCTATCTACCTACCTATCACTATACCAGACTTACTATATACTAGCATATGATATACCAAAACCATACCCACTGCTATCCAGTCAATTCTGACTCAGCAACTCCCATAGGGTTTCCAAGGCTGTAAATCTTTACGGAAGCACACTGTTTCTCCTGTGGAGTGACTGGTGGGTTCAAGCTGGCAACCCTTTCTCAGCAGCACAGTGCCTTAACCACAGTGCCACTAGACTTCCTTAGAATATGATATACAAGAAGAGAAATCTTTTTTTTTTTCACTTTAGCCCTTTTTTTAAAAAAACAAGAAGAGAAATCTACTTTTTTAGCTCTTTAAGAATGTACTGAATTAATTATGATAGGAGGCAGATGCCTGTTTCTAAAACAAACCAACATGTTGTGTCTTCCCATAATTGGGTCCCCATGGACTTTTCTTGACTCTCTCTTTGTATTTTTAACATTCCTCATTTTTCCCATCTGTGTTTTTTTCCCTACCTACTTCTGCTCTATCCCCTTTGCTTTTCTTCCATCTGCTTTATGAGTCTTGATTACCCTTTTCATAGTTCTCTCTGTCTACAGTTTCTTTTTAAATGCCTTTTATTCTCAGTGGTTCCTAAATTGATTCAAGTGACTCAACCCTGAGAACATTTGTTCACAGATAATTCTTCTGAGCTCTATCAATTTAGTGATATAACCTTCTTTAGGTGGGCTAGAATACTACAGGGAAGGAGATGATACTAATGTTATAAGCCCTGCAATGATCATAATCCTTTTATATTATATTTCCATCTGATCTCTTAATGGAAACAAACCCCTCTTGGCTGAGAGGAGGAAAATGGGCTGAAAGGCTTTTCAAAATGAAACTGTTTTCTTGTGTAGGTGATTGCAGTATGTTCATTGTGATATTTATGTAATATTTTCATGTTGCATTAAATGAATCGCTCCATTTGGAAATGTGAGGAATGGGTTTTCTGGTATTTGTTCTTACCAAGCTCAGTTTAAATGTTTTCTAATTCATGAACCACTGCATAAATTCACAGAAGGCATTTTCAGTACCAGATGAATGTATGAATATGCAAACAACAATGGAGTTTGAATCAGAAAACCAAGTTTAAAGCTTCATAGATTCTACTCCTAATTAATTGTGTGCTCTTGAATCACTATCTTCCTTCCTGTTAGGAGTTCTTTAGATATTCACAACCAGCAGTTTAGATAAAGAGAGAACCACAGACTGAATAGTCTCACTGTAAATTCATGATGTTTCTTTTAAGTGTACTCCCCAGCAATCCTATTCCTTTTCCTTGATCTATCAACTTCCTCTCTCTCTCTTTTCCAGGCACTTCCATAGTTCTGTCTTTCCTCTCCCCCTGTTGATGATTGTGCTTTTTTTATTTCCTGAGGAAACAGAGGCAATTGGAGCATTTGCTTCTGTTCCCATCACATCTACCGTGTATCCTGATTTCCCAAGGATTCCTGCAGATTGGCAATCTGTGTTCCCAGGCTAGCTCCTCCGCTGATGCCTTGTTGTTGTTATGTGCTGTCGAGTCGGCCCCGACTCATAGTGACCCCTCCTTGGGTTTCCAAGGCAGTATCACTAAGGAAGTAAGATTGCTCAATCTTCCTTCCGAGGAGTGGCCGGTGGGTTTGAACCGCCTAGATCCCCTCAACTCTTACCTACTTAGGAGAATGACACTAGCCTTTCTTGTTCCCTCGTGCATCATAAATTGTTTCTTCTCTACTGGGTCTTTCCATTAATATGCAACCTTGCTGTTATTTTTATTTCATTTTGAAAAATAAAAAAAAGTAACTAAGAAACAAATCCTTCACTTGAAGTACCCTCAAACAATCTCTTTCTTTTTACAGCTAAATTCCTCAAAAATATTGTTCTGTGGGAACAATACTCAGATTGTATTCTCTCTCACATTCTCAGATTCTCTTCTTTCTTTCTTAAACCCACTCCAACCAGGTATTTGTCCTGAATATTTCAACCAAACTGCTTTCTCAGGGTTACTGATGACCTTGATATCATTAGTGGCCTATAGGGCTATTTTTCACATACATTTTCTGTGTCATTGTGTCTTCCTACTTTTTATAGAGCTTATTTATAAAACAGCTTTAGGATTTAATGAATATGGGGAGGTTTTGTTTTTTTTTTTTTTTTACTATTATAAACTTACTAAAAAATTTTATCGCTTTATATTATAGTGAGCTAATTCTTGAACATTTAAAATCATATAACTCCTTGTTAAGTGATACAGAAGCAAGAGAGGGACTAACAATATTTATTCTGCAAAAAAGAAAGAGAAATGAGTATGAAAACAGTATACTGTAATTCAGTCATGAGAATAACAGACTTTTTTTTTTTTTTTTTACAGTTTTACAATTTGTCATAAAACAGAAGTTGTCAAGAATACTCTGAATCCTGTATGGCAGGCATTCAAGATCTCAGTCAGAGCTTTATGTAATGGAGATTATGACAGGTAAAATAAATGACACCTTTTTTGAAGGTTTTAAATATTCACTGTATATTCTTGTATCCAGCAATCAAAGTAAAAGAAAAAAATAAATAATTAAACTGGCACCTTTACCTATGTAAATATATATTTACACATCTGTATCTGATTTATTCAAATTTTTTCTCATATCTTTTAATCCATGGTGATTTTGAGAAGAGGGAAAATTGGGCTAATTAAACTTTGGTAAACTGATTTTTTGAAGAATTAAAAGGTATAAAATGTTAAAAATATATTCACAGTTTGTAAGCTAGTATTCAAAAGACGTTCCAGAAGTTTCATTGCCTCAAGGTTTTCAAATGTGTATTATCTTTCCATAATGGATACAAGACTATCACTAGGTATGGCATTAATCCAGGCATACTCTCTAAATTCCTTTTTTAGCATAACTCTTCTCCTGTTTGCTGGCTTATAGAAGAAGTTCCAAGGAGATTCTCTTGTTTTGCAAATTTTATAAGTAGCTAGCCCAGGTGGCCCTGTCAGTCTTCCTATAATATATCTGATGATTTCTTCAATATCAAAGTTTTTTTTTCTTTCACTTATAAAAAATAATAATAATTTAATAATAGAAACAACCTCCAACCACCCCAAAAGAAAAGGAAATAAGTAAACAGTAAAATCCAATAACAAAATAAGTTATCTTTTTTTTTCCTTTTTGCTTTCATATTAGAAAAATGTGTACTCTATTAATCAATATCTTTGAATGAACTATTACCAGTTTTATTAAATATACTTTAAAATGTATTATTCCACTTGATTATTATTCCATTTGACTATAATTTTATTTATTTAATAAGAAATCATAACTTCATTTAAATGGACTCATTCTTTCGCTAAGAAAGTGGTTCTTACTGTGTTGTTCCTCATAAGTAGCATTAGCATCACCCGGTAACCTTGTAGACATTCATATTCTCCTGCCCCAACCCCAGCCTCCTGAACTGAGAATCTGGGCATGAGGTCCAGAAATCTATTTTGATAATTCCATCATGTGATTCTGATCCATGCTGAGTTTGAGAAACATCGTGCTTAAGACATGGTTTTCAAGAACATTCTCTCTCCATTAGGAAGTTCTGTCAGATTACGTATACTCCCTCCATATGCTTTCCTTATGCCCTATAAAGGATCACTACAAATTTTAAAAACCAGCTTCAAGATGTAAATGAAATTATTGTAATAAAATTAGTGAAAACAACTTACTTTGTAAAACCTAGAGGTATACACTTTTTATCCAATCAAGAAAATCTGCAACACTTTTTTGTCCTCAGCCATATATTATTTTGATCTTACTAAGTGACTTTTGGGAGCCCTGGTGGTGCAGTAATTAAAGGCTAATCAAGATGGGAGGTTTGAACCTACCAGCCACTCCATAGGAGAAACATGTGGCAGTCTGCTTCCATCAAGATTTGTGACCTTGGATACCCTATGGGGCAGTTCTACCCTATCCTATAAGGTCACTTTGAGTCAGAATCAACTTGACAGCATTGGGTTTGGTTTGGTATTTGTTAAGTGACTTTACTCTATGTGTACGTTTTTTTTTTTTTTCCATGAACAGAACAATCAAAATAGAGGTTTATGACTGGGATAGAGATGGAAGGTAAGACATTTTCTTTATTCTTTTATTCTTTTTCTTGAAGTTTAATATATTTTAGGAAGTAAGTATATTGATAAAACGATCATGTTTTTATTTTATATTTTCATATTGCAAATATTGTCTTGGTTTTTCAAATGTTACTGAGGTGTTCACAAGAAATTTTAAGACTGAGTATATTTTCTTCAACTTGGAGATAAAATAAAGATCTTCCTCATTTCTAGTAATGCAGTAAAGATTTTCAGTTTGGACCTTACCATCTCCTGTGCTCAGCTTTCAAATGTCTAGTTTCTCAGCTGTAGATTAGTGATTCTCAAATGTCTACAACTTATATTTTTCCTAAAGATTCTAATAACCTTTATATCCAATGTCATTCATTGAAACACATGTATGCACGTGCCCACGTGCATGTGTGTGCACACAGATACTACAAACAGACAGAAGAATACATAGCTTTAGAATTATGTCTGGACCATGAGCTCCCTTTGATATCACACCAGATGTTAAAGGCCAAGAGATGAAACAAGATTTTCCTTCTTTTCTTTTTCAAAGTATTTTCTACTGTTTCTACTATTTTAAGTAAGATTAGTATTGAGGTATTTTTAGATTATGCTAAGCCACAGGACTCAGAAATGCTTGAATCCAACATTGGCCTAGTTAGTTGTCTTTACAGGGATTCCTGAAGGGATTGAACATACATACACCAAAGGAAAGGAGCTCTGGTAGCATAGTGCCTAAGGCACTTGACTGCTAACCAGAGGGCTGGCAGTTCAAACCCACCAGACACTCCTCGGAAGGAAGATGGGACAATCTACTTCTGTAGTGATACTGCCTCAGAAACCCAAGGAGGGGTAACTATGAGTGGGGTCCGACTTGACGGCACATGACAACAACAACAACATACCAAAGGAAATATGATAGCAATGAGAAAACAAAGGCATTTAATTTTTCACTTGCCTAATGCCGTCAGCTTCAACACTGAGCTCACTGGAAAATGGAGCTGAAAGATAAGGGTGAAAAGCATGGCCTTTGTTCCCATATCATATACAACAAGCAGCCATGCCCAAATTGATGACAGTATAAGAGCAAGTTCAAGAGGGCTGTCCTGTCCTGAGGGAATATCTCCTTCATCCCTTCAAGCTCCACAGGTAGGAAAATCTCCAATCTGAGTTGTTGTTGTTATTTTGCCGTTGAGTCAGACCCAACTCATAGCGACTCCTCCTTGGGTTTCTGAGGCAGTGTCACATGCAAACATGTATATGACATGTACCCATGTACCTACTCATACATATGGTCCAGTAAGTGCCCTGGTACTTGACCCACATAGCATTTTCTCCTCTTTATGAAGAATGTTAACAGAGGGTGTAGACAGAGATGGAGCTGTTACTCCACACATCAGCTACCACCAAATAGCTATGTAAGACTCAGTGGTTTTGATCTTCAAGTCATATCCTAAACATAATTTTGCCAAAGAGTCCAAACACTGGTTTGAAGTTTACTTTCAGAGCTAATACATGCTATACCACTGATCTTTACGTTTCTATAAAGTTATTCATTTAATTATTGATTTTTTTTAAGGTTTAATTTACATTTTTCATTTATGTTTACATGTTAAGTTTCATTCTACACATATTCTGGAGAAAATTCAGCAGAATACCTATTTTTTCCCAAAGGCATTTATACTCTATTGTTTCATTAAATTTTATTCCTTGAGAGAAGGTATTTAAATAAATAAACAGAAAAGGAATTAGTGCTATTTGAGTAAAAGAGAACTTTAGGACATATATCATATGCCCTATTGTAAATTTTAATTGGGTATGTGCAAAATTGATGGTCTTTCCATAATACCTTTAGGTAATTGGGGAAATGATTTTAATTTGATCACTTAGAAAGGAAGTCTGTAAATTTTTATTTCATCTACAGCCATCACCATTCAATGCTAAACTTACAGAATTTTAGATAATTCTGTTGCTCTGTTTTGGAAGGTGAGTATCAGGGATTCTCTTGTTACCTCTGTCTACTTCTAAAGTATAAGAATTTTGAGTAGCTTTAAGGATCCCCATTCCCTTGAAGTTAATTGTTGCTTTGTCCGATGTTGGGATTTTGAACATTACTATCCAAGTCATGATTTTGTGAATGGTTCTAAGCATATGACATCAGTATTGTTTTGTATGGAAATTTAACAATACAGCAGCAGATAAAATAAGCTGATCTTTCAGTTCACAGAGGATTAAAGTAAAAAATTCAAGTGAAAAATATTCAATAGTGTTACTTGCTTACAATCACATCTTATTTTATTAGCTGGGGTGCTTTAGTTAATTGTGCTAAAAATGACATTCACAGATTGGGAAATTCAGGGCGTGGTATGATTTTGGGTCAGAATCTGCTAGTGTTTTTTTTTTTAGTATGTAATTTTAATTTTTTTAAACTTTTCACTTTGAAATAATTCCAGATTTGCGATTTGTAAAGAATAGTACAAAAATTTTCTGTATATGTTTTACCCAGATTCCTCAAATGTTAGCATCTTATATAACCCTGGTATAATTACTGAAATGAAAGAATTAATGTTGATACAATACTTTTCATCAAGTTGAAACGAGTTCTTTAATGACTATCTCATGCATAGTGTAGTGCCTTAGGCACTTGACTGCTAACCAGAAGGCTGGCAGTTTAAACCCACCAGCCACTCCTCGGAAGGAAGGTTGGGCAATCTACTTCTGTAGTGATACTGCCTCGAAAACCCAAGGAGGGGTCTCTATGAGTCAGGTCTGACTCCACGGCACAGTACAACAACAGCATGCATCTATGAAGCAGACAAAACATGTAGCATGCTGTTGAGCAATTAACCAGTTGACGTTAAAATAGGTACTTGAATCTAATCTAGAACAGAAGCAATGAAAGCCATCTGTCCTTTTTTACTAAGAAGCCCCAGTGGCACAGTGGTTAAAGCACTCAGCTGTTGCCAAGTGGTCAGCAGTTCAAATCTACCAGTCATTTTTTGGGTGAAAGATGTAGCAGTCTACTTCTGTAAATGTTCTTTGTTGTTGTTGTTGTTCTATGCTGTCGAGTCAGACCCTACTTGTAGTGACCCCTCCTTGGGTTTCCAAGGTGGTATCACTACAGAAGTAGATTGCCCATCCTTTCTTCTGAGGAGTGGCTGGTGGGTTTGAACCACTAGCATTCTGGTAAGCAGTCAAGGGCCTTAGGCACTATGCTACCAGAGCTCCCAACCTTGAAACCCTGTGAGGTCTCTATGAGTTGGAATGGATTGGACAGCAGTGGGTTTTGGTTTTGGACCTTTTAACTTAAGTTCATTGATAATGGTCTGAGAGTGTAGTGGTGTTGCTTGACCATGGTATGAGTAATTAGTCTAAATCTCTTTATTTGTCAATAAATTAAACCCCTTTATTTAAAAAAAATGTTGCCAATGAAAGGCTAAAATGCTGAGAAGCTGAATTGTCTAGGTTACAAAGCAATCAGTGGTGGTTTGGCTGCAAAGCTTTGCTTGAAGTTGTTTCAGCTGAATTCATAGCTTAATTTAAAATTCAGGAAGCATTAATGGAACAGCTCTGCATTAAAACCATGTGGCTCTAATGTGGGACTGATTGTTAAGTGCCACCAAGTAGATCATTGTCTATCAGGAAATGATGATTTGATGAAAAGGATGAGCTAGTGAACTGCCAATCATATAATCCTAGCTTGTGATCACTGAACAGGGAGAGTAAAAGTTTCATTATTACTACTATTCATTTTATCAAATCTAGTCATTTTAAATAATGATACTTATTATAACTAAGTGCAAACTTCATTTATCTATGAAATGCCATACAAATGCTATCATTTTCTTGTATGTTACCTTTGAAGATAATATTTGATAACTGTATTTGATGTTTTCATTCTGAGATTATGCACCATCATGGAAATTACAAAGTGATTCTTGGTCTAGTGCTTTGCTTAAGAATTTTCTGGTAAATTGTGGAAGAGACCAGAGCTAATTTAGGAGCAGCATATGTGAGGCTTTTATGCTTTCCTCATTTCTTTTAAATTGCTAAACTTATTCTGATTTATCTTGCCTTGACAATAGTCCACTATTTTCCTGCAGTTAACTCTGAATGTCCTTTCAGTGGACATTGAAATGTATTTTCAGTTGAAAAAATTCATTCTCTTTTCCTTGTACCATTACCTATCACTACTTTGAGACTTTATTTTAAATATTGATAGATGGAATTTCATATTCTACAGGCTAGTCACTGACGTATTTATTTTTTCTCCCCCTAACTAAAAATATAAAACCAAACAAAACCCACTGCCGTTGAGTGGATCCTGACTCATAGTGACCCCCATTGAGTTTCCAAGGCTGTAAATCTTTTTGGAGGTAGATTGCCTCATCTTTCTTCCATGGAACAGATGGTGGGTTTGAATTGGCAACCTTCCGGTTAGCGGTCTTATGCACTATGCCAATGGAGCTCCTTTTAACTAAAAATACAGGCAATGTTTTTTCTCATGTAGTTTTGAGATTTTTTATCCACTCTCCCTTCAATCTATAATTATTACCCTGATGAAAGATCAATTTAACTTGAGTATATTAGGTTACTGAAATTGTAATCAATTTTAACCACTCATGCATGCCCTTAGTATTTATGATTCAATATACATAAAGAGCTTTGGTGGCACAGTGGTTAAAGCACTTGTCTGCTAAGTGAAAAGTCAGTGGTTTTAAAACTCCTCAGTGGCTCCATGGGAGAGGAAACCTGGCAATTGGCTCCCATAAAGATAACAGGAAACTTTATTGAGCAGTTCTCTCTGTCACATAGGGTTGCTACAAGTCAGAATTGACCCCACAGCACACAACAGCAACAGAAATTCTGTTGATTAAATTTGGAAGAAAATGTTGTTGAAGACTTGCTATGTGCTAAACAGTTTGCAGGTATTACCACTTACCTGAAAACTTCAACCTTCATGCAACAATATTTTTACTTTCCTTCATATGTGATTTTGTATCTTTT